CCAGACCGGGACTTGAACCCGGGACCTTCCGATTATGCATCGGGTGCTCTCCCAACTGAGCTATCCGGCTCCTAGCCATTTCTTCCATTCACTTTTCTTGCCGTTACTTTTCTCCGTTACAGACAAACATAGACACACCAGTTCCACGAGCCGAGGACGCAGCACCAGCCGTGGATCTGACGGAGAGCACTCCACCATCCTCTCCCCCGGGTCAGGGGATTAAAGAAGAGCCCAGCCTCCTCACTAGCCAGCAGAGAGCTGCCCGCAATGCGGAGATAGCTCTGGAGAGCATCCTCTTCCCGGAAGGCATTCCGGTGGAGCTGGACGACCTGGCTCTCCCCGACGACAGCGACGCCGACGTCGCCCAGGACCCGCCACCGCGAGGACCCCTGTCTCCAGTCGTCGTGCTGGAAAAGCTGCCGCTATCCGGGAGACCAGAGGCACCGCAGTCCCAACCGGCCAGAGAGGCACCCATCCATCTCCAGGATTACTGGGACCCACTCAAACCCTGGCTACCCGAGATACGGAGTATCGAGGAGCAACATCCCGGCTTTGCCGCGGCCCTACACGCCTGCACGCTGACACCGGCTCACCACCTGTCAGCTGTCAGGTTTGTCATCCCTCCCATTCCCCTGGAATCGGTGAGCGGCACAGTCCCACTCGGAGAGAGTGAGGAAGAACTCCCGGAGGCTACCTCCGAGGACCACACATCCGAACGGGCCCTGACCCCGCCGGCACATCCGATTGTGGAGATCGGATCCAGCTCCGCGAGCTCCAGTTCTTCTAGCTCGTCGAGCTGCAGCAGTTGCAGCAGCTGCTCTTCGGAGTCCGGGAACTCCACCATCCGCAGTCCAGGACCAGCCGGAGATCCAGGCCACCCATCCGACAAGGGAGACCAGGCCCAGGCATCATCCCCCGAGTGGGAGGATCCGGACAGCACACCGGCACCCAGTATCCAGAGCGCGGCCACCGAGTTCATTGACCTCGGACCCCTCGAGGAACTCTCGCGGCCCAGCACAGTGCCCACAGCAGAGTCACCACATCCAGCTCTTCCTCATACCGGAACCGAGATGGCCAAGCAGCACCCGTCGCTCACGGACTCACGAGCCGGCGAGAGAACGCCGCCGTATCCACCCCTCACAGTAGATGAGGATAGCGAGAAGCTTCCGGAGGTCACACCTCCGGTTCCCGTGCGTGCCTTCGCCGCCGTGGCCAGCCTTCCGAGCGCATCAGCTCAGGCCTCTACATCCGCCTGTAAGCAGGTCGGCCCATCCGCTCCTTCGAGAGCCCAGGACATCACCGTCCATACCACCGAGGAACAGCTGAAGAGGTCCACTACCACCACACGCAGCAACCCCACGACCAACCGGGGGGGAGGACAGCCCGGGAAACCCGCTGGAGGGAAGCGAAGGAAGCCACGTCATTGGTGCTTCGACTGTCGTCGACACGGCCACGCACACCAGGCCTGCCCAACACCAACTGGCGACATCTTCTGTGGACTATGCCCACATCGTCTGAGGGTTGAAAGAGTCTGCCCAGAGCACGGCCCAGTGACACAACCTGCTGGCGGACGAACAGCAGGATATTCCAGCACCTCCGCTGAGACTTCCCAGGTGAGGCCATCGCCATCACCTGCATCGGCTGCATCCAGCGCGTCAGGGACCCACGCGCCGAGGAGTACTGGGCTCCCTTCGAAAGGAACCCAATCCGTCCAGCAGCAGCTGGATCGGTCTATCCATTCCCCAGGGAGGAGGAACGCAGGTTTCGTCGCGAGGACGAATCTCCAGAAGACTCGAGGCTCCGGTTCTTCGGGCAGCCACCAGCCACTCTGTCCACTCCAGTGGCCTATCCCCAAGAATATGGGGGCACCTCCGCAGGCCGAGGCCGCGGTTATTTCACCCAGGCCGGCGCCACGACATCCAGATCGTCAGCCCTGGGTCGGGGAACGAATGCCCGTTTCGGGCCCCCAACGACAACTCCTGGAGCCCGTTGGCCCCGAGAGACCCTCGAGGCCCTCCAGAGCATCCTGGACCAGGCCCAGCGCGACCACCAGCGGAGCCCAGAAGCCGGGTACTATCCCCGTTAAGACGGCGGCAACATCCCTGAAGAATCAGTGGCAACATCCCCGTGACTCGGTGGCTCATCCCCGCAAGACGGAGGCACGTCCGGAGGAGAATCTCCCGGCCATCCATCCCATCGCCAAGGGTGGCTACTCAGTTCGTTTTTGTTGTTGTGGGATTCCCACATTCCTTTTTTTTTTGGAAAATACTTTTTTTTATTTTTATACTTACTTTTTTTTGTATTTTTTTTTTTTGATAGGGTGCCAATTACCCAAGTTTCTTTTTGTCTTCTCTCTGTGATAAGTCTCACGCGTACCTGAAGGCACCCTTTGTACAAATAGGATAAGTATTGTGATAATGCGGAAGAATCCGTCCGGGGAGATAACTCCCCACGAGCACCAACTATGTGCCATAAGCCCCTAGGGGGCCATCAATGTTCTTTTTTTGTTTAAGTTCGCCTTTCAGAGGCAGTTCCGGGTCCGATGACCCGGCAAATATACAGATACGTGTGATAAGGCTTATGCATTTATTCCGACCCTTACCTCAGGGTGTGGGTTCGAGTTTTTCCCCGACATTACGTTTGGTGGAGTTTAGGTATGATGCAGACCTTGAAGTCCAGGACCAACACAGCCAGACCAGGGACGACCACGAAGGCTGACCCGGATACGGACCATCAAAGGAGGGGGGTGTAACGAGCATCGGGGATGCCCGTTAGTATCCCCAGATAAAATTAATAACGAGAGAGAGAGTTCGAGGACAAAAATTTATGGGATGTAAGAATAATGATTAATTCCCCCCCTCGGGGTGGTTTAGGGATTTTTGGGGGTGAGGTTAGGGCAAACTCTAGGTTATTTTAGGTCCGGCCCAAAAAGCCGGCGCTCCAAATGAAAGGGTTCTTGAGGGTTAGTTGGTACGGGTGGAAGGCCGTACGGGGATCCGAAAAATACCCCTACGGATTGCCAACGGCTGTTACGGGTGGAAGGCCGTACGGGGATCCGAAAAATACCCCTACGGATTGCCAACGGCTGTTACGGGTGGAAGGCCGTCGGGAATTAACCTCCATCCCAATGGAGTGCCAAAAATTTTAGAGTTAGTTATCGGTGGAAGGCCGCACGGGGTAAATCCAGCCCTTACTTCGGCGGATTGCCAATGAATAAAGTAATAAAATTACGGGTTAGTGAAATAATTTAATACGTTTAAGGTTAGTGATTTAGGTCTCCTAACCCCAGGAATCCGGGAGAATCAACAGAGAGAAAAATACCGCGGAAAGAATAATTTTTGATAATGAGAATTAATTCAAATTTGAATTAATTCTCCCGCGAAGGGCTTGGCCCATAATAGGGTAGAGGGATCCACCAATCGACACCCGATCGATTGGTAGGCGTGATTAGGGGGTCAGCGTAATGCGACACTGACCTCCGAATATCAGTTACGCGTTGACCGTGAAACACCATACACACGTGAGTGAAGAGTGACGACCAAGGACTCAGACTAGGACATCGCGAGATACGAGAAGAAGTTACACACAGCTACGATGGTCCTGAAGAAGAAGAAAAGGACTTTGAGGAAATCAACCGTGAGTTTTTACGGTTTATTTTGAGTATTTTCCCCTTTTTGGCGGCTCCCCAATAATTAATTGGCGGTGATGAATTTTTCCGAGCCATGGAAATGGCGTCGGTTGTTCCCCCGAAATTGGGTGGCTTCGTTGAGAAATTATGGGGGGGATTTTCCGAACATGTCCGGTGTGTGTTTTCCCGCACTGCGTTTGGTGGTTTATTAGTGGGAATTTTTGGGGTTTTATATGGGTTATTTGGGATGGGATTTCTGCGTGAATTATCCACGGCCAACAAAGGGCCAGTGGTTTTTCCCTCATGGCGTCATCGAGACAGCCATCGAGTTGTACGAGCAACAAGTGTGATGTATGCATTAAAATTCCACGTGGCTATTAATTGGCCTAGCGTGGTTAATTACCAACCTTTACGCGAATAAATTTGTGGGAATGTTCGGGATAATGTCCCGAGTCAAATGGCTCAGGGTTTTCCGAAATCCACCCGGTGGATTTCGAGATATCGATTTTGGAACGAATAAAGATTTTTTGATGGTGGGTTATCTCTCACCGTTAATCGAGCGGTGGAGCGTAACGCGCTCGCTCTCTCTCTCTCACTCTCTTGACTTTCGGTGCGTCGTGGGTTCGAGCCCACCGAGTTCATACTTTTTTTTTCTTTTTTGTTATAGACCCGAGCGGTTGGGTTCGATGATAGGGATAGATCACTCGTAGATAATTAGAAATGAATATCTCTCAGGGAGATTCAACTTTTTAACGGTTAAACGATTTATTCAATAATTATAGTCTTTGATTAATGCCGTAAATATCAGGCAATATGAATTACAAGAAAAGTGACTTAACGAATAATCGGATTACTAATTGTCTGTGTCTGACAACCTGACTAACTGACCCCGTGGCAACGAACTCACGAGCTTATATTTCATCGTGGATTCGATTACAACAAGTGTTTTATCTTTGTTTTACACCTGGAGAGACATCGGGTGACGTCCCAGGTGTACGTAAAGGCCATAGCCGTTGATGGGGCGAAGTGCTGACACTGCACCCCAGTGATCCACATTATGACGAATATATGTGGACTTAATCCACAAATATTCGGGATAGTTTATACAACGTTGACATTCTTTGATTCGATTTTACATGTTTTGGATAATATGTGCCACTTCGCGTGTCGTCATATTATCCAGGTCAATGAGAAATTACCTAATACTATTTCTTAATTTAATGGTATTTCTGGGGCATAACATTTTTTTATTATTAGTCATTCATTTAAGTTTTAGAAAATATTCCTCGGATTCTCGGTGACCGATTATCCTTGAGGCCACTTTCCCAGGGCACTATTTTAGGCCCTATGGGCAATTAGCGATTTAATTGGATTTTTATTTGAGGAGGATTTATATCTCCAGAAAAGTAAAATATTAATAATATTTCAAAATGATTCAAATGATAATAAAAATGCGGGGGTACGGGCAGTTCTGTAAATCTTGTGTAAGCGATTAATTTTTTTTCTTGTATTGAGTTCTGACTTTCAATAGCGAAACACGTAAGGACGATTTTGGAGTTATTTTCTTTTTTTTGAATCCCTTTTTATTTTTTTTTCCCAATTTTTCCGATAACCTTGTTCCCATCTACAATCCACCCCTCTCTCCACAACAGGCATACTGAGCGACGCGAGGACCGTCACCTTTCCCCGAAAGCCTAGCGATCCTTTCCGTTCCCTTTTGGATTCCTTTTTTTTGGATTTTAGCGAGTAAGTTTGAGTTATGTTTTAATGTCTTTCGAGGTACGATTTTCGATCAGACGAATATCGAGATTAGTTAAGTTTAGGATTACAGAATTTTCCGGTTTGGTAATCCCGGTTAAAAATTACCTGGCGCCCATTTGTTGAAATTTTAGCAGGTTTAGTAGGCTCAAGGGAAGTAGGGCGAAGGTAATGGGCATTTTCCATTCCCCGAGAAAATGTCACGTTACAATTCATACCGAGGTTTGTACTAACGTTAAACAAAGTCTCAGAAGACTTCTATTAACTGAAGTCGATTGTATTCATCGATACAATCGGACAGTGTGTTTGTACTTGCCTAGAGTGCACATTGCCTAACCAATTCATTCATATCGAGGTTTGTACTAGCATGAAATGAAGTTTAGTAAGATTCTCAGTGTTCAAAATGGAGTGTACCCATCGGTCCAAACACCATGCAAATTCCGATGCATCATGCACTGAAGATTATCTGGAGTATGAATGAAGAAAGAAATTCCAGAAAATTTGAACACACAACGGATACAATCATATGCGTTAGAAAAAAAAATTCGACCCCAAAAAAAAAATTCCTCCATAAGGTTTTTGGAAAATTGTTGGCAAAAATGGAAAAACTTTTAGTGGTACAAATAAGTACAATCGATACCGAACACGATGCAATTGGTTTTTTTCCCCCACCCCTAAACTCGACGCTGCACAATTTGTGCTGCATCCGTTACCCGGAAGGGTTAGGGGTACAAAAAATTTGAGTTGTGGTACAATCAGGTACTAAACAAGTACAATCATACGCCGTTCGAAAAAATCAAATTTCTTCAACTTCGATGCCAACTTCACATAGCTTAATAACGTTGAAAAATCGCCTGTAACCGCCCCCCCCCTTCCCATTTCCTTCTTCTTGAATGAGACACAACAACTACAACATAATGATTCTGTGTTTGATAACACGATTGTGTTATGCCCCACAAAGTGGCGCATAATTACTCAATCTTTCCGAAATACGCACAAACGAATGTAGGGCATATTTCGGAATATAAACATAGAATTAAGTAATTGTATTATCGAACAGAATATGCGTGTCTTGCAAAGCACGTATATTCGTAATTAAAAGTAAGCCAGTGGAACTCGTATCAGCAATTTCGACTGGACTCAATCACATGGTATTATCATAACACCATGCAGATATGAGGTAATGACCAAGACGTCATCATTCTCATCGGGATAAATACTCGAGAGACAGATGACTCGAGGCTAGTAACTTGACGACAGTCTTTAATCAGTGTTCACCTGATACTCTCGGTATCGGAATGAACATATTCAATTGTCCTTCGCCAAACTAAGATTAAATAAATAAAGAATACTATTCAGTATTTGTTTCGCGAGTGCTAATTCTCCAAAAGTACCGAACCCTATCCGCTCGGACTACAACAATTGCCCTCATGTGACAGTCATATGAGCATCATTTGATTCTTTTCATTTATATTCCCTCAATCTTTATTTTTAACTGTTTTTGGAGTTAAATCGATTGAAATATATAATTTTAACGTACACAGAACTCTAAACAAGAACCATTGGGCGAAAAAAATTACGGTTATTCGATGATGACTTACCGCGTTGAGATGCGCCACTTGTCGTCTGCTTCATTGAACTGTTGGCAGAGATCCCGGACATGACGGCATCGGAGATGCTACTTTGATTAAATGCCTGCTTATCTTCGTCTCCTTCCAATTCCCCAGTGCTGGCGACTATTGGCGAATGTTCGGGTCCTGTAATGATCGGACTATGGAACAAGGTTTTAGTAGCATTAAGTACTTCTTCTACTGAAGTTTCCAAAGTCATCGATTCTTTGTTGATTGTGGAACTCTGTCCCTCTCCAATGTTGGTTAAGTTCATCATTATATCTGTGTCTACATTGGTATCTCTCAACTCGTTATCAATGCACGTTGGAGCATTCACATTTTCTTCTGACCGTTGTTGAACCGGCGAAGAGGACAGTATGCATTCAGATGTGGAGGGGTGGTCTGTCTCC